AATAAATGGAAATCTATCCCATGCTCATGGATAGGAAGAATTAATATTGTCAAAATGGCCATCCTGCAGATTTAATGACATTGTTATCAAAACACCAACAGCATTTTTCAATGAACTAGAACAAATAGTTTTAAAATCCATAGGGACCCACAAAAGATCCCAAATAGCCAAAGCAATCCTGAGAACAAAAACAAAGTTGGGAGTATTATGCTCCCTGACCTCAAGCTATAGTACAAAGCTATAGTAAATAAAATAGTATGAAACTGGCACAAGGACAGACCCTTAGATTAATGGAACAGAATAGAGAGCCCAGATTTAAACCCACACATATATGGTCAATTAATATATGGTAAAGGACCCATGAATATTAGCAATGGGGAAACAGATAGCTTTTTCAATAACAGGTGTTAGAAAAACTAGATACCTTTGTGCAAGAGAATGAAAATGGATTACTCTCTAATTCCATACACAAAAGCAAACTTGAAATGGATCAAAGACCTAAAAGTAAGACTTGAAACCATAAAACACTTAAAAGAAAAAAACAGGCAAAATATATTGAACATGGGATGTGAACAGTTTCCAGGAATATGTAGTTTTAATTTGTCTGATTTTTCTCAAACTATTCAAATTCAGTTAGACAATATCCATCATATTATTGATAAGTTTTCACAAATGCCTAGGGTACCTAACTGGTTTTCTTGGTTTCACTGGATATGGCTGATAATTGTAGGTCTGCTTTTGTTATGTATCTGTATTCCTATTCTGTTAATATGTGTATGCAATATAATTAGTAGTTTGTTAATACCTATACATGCTTATGTTACTCTATAAGAAGTTATGTCAAAGAAATAATCAATCTTCCCATGTTTTCTTCCATCTGCTACTTCTAAAGCTTTTCTTCTTCCTTCCTAATTACAACCCTTTAGTAGAATTAGTGCCTCATATCAAAAATTACCGAGTATCGTAATTCTTCCAAGTGGTAAAGATACCTCAAGACAAATGCTGGGCATAGAAGCCACAGGGCATAAATCTGCAAAGAAGTAAAAAGCTAACCTTTTCAAAGAATATTGCTTCTCTCTCTTACCAACTTTACATTTCCCTGTATGGCCCCAGAAGATGACTGGTTAGCCAGAGACAGGTAAGATTCCTCAAGGGAGGAACAACCTAAGACAGACACAGTCACAGGGGGGCCATCAGGTGAGAAATTGGGGACCAACAAAGGTGAGGCTTAGAACCTCACCACCCCTGTTTTGAGAGAAATCTTCTGCATCCGTGGATGTCTTGTTGCCCTTGTCTAGCTTGGATTAATACTTAGCCTATAGGCACAGACCTGATCATCTACATTTGCCCCCTTACAGCACTAAATTATGCTTTTTACCTTTATCTTGCATCTACCTATCACTTCAGCATTTTATTTAAAAAAACACGGGAGAAATGTGGGATTCACATTTAAATCAAGTATAAAAATCAAATGAATAATCATATCTGACTTGATTGTTTATAGTTCATGATGTGTGATCAAAACCGAAAGTTTCTGTGATATGACTGCCCTTGCACTGTTCACCGTGTAAGAACTTATTCACTATGTAAGAACTTGTCCACCATGTAAGAACTTGTTCGTTATGCTTCAGAAGATTGGAGACTGTTGAGAATTACGCTTGGGGTTGATTAATGATTGTGCATTGAGTCCCATGCCCTCTCAAAAAATATATATATATATTGAACATAAGCATGAGAAATTTTTTCTGGACACATCTCCCTGAGCAAAGGAAACAAAATTAAAAAATGAACGAGTGGGACTACATAAAACTAAAAAGCTTCTGTACAGCAAAGGACATGATCAGCAGAACAAAAAGGCAACCTATAGTATGGTAGTATATATTCATAAATGATTTATCTGATAAGGGGTTAACATCCAAAATATAGAAAGAACATATGCCTCAACACCAAAAAAAAAAATAACATGATTAAAAAATGGGTGGAGTACCTGAACAAACATTTCTCTGAAGAAGAAATGCAGATGACCAGCAGGCACATGAATAGATGCTTCACAATGCTAATCATCAGGAAAATGCAAATCAAAACCACAATGAAATACCAGTTCACACCTGTCAGAATGGCTGCTATCCAAAAAACAAGAAATAACAAGTGTTGGCAAGGATGTGGGAAATGGGAACCCTCCTACATTGTTGCTGGGAATTTAAATTGGTGCAGCCAGTTTGGAAAGTGTGGAGATTCCTAAAAAAACTAAAAATAGAAATACCACTTGACCCAGTATTTACACTTTTCAGAACTTACCCAAATAAACAAGATCCTTGATTTCAAATGGTGTATGTATCCCTATGCTTATAGCCACATTATTTACAGTAGCCAAGATATGGAGGCAAGCCAAATGTCCATTAATAGATGAATGGATAAAGAAGATGTGGTACACAATGGAATATTATTCAACCATGAAAAGGAAATCTTACCATCTTCAGCAACATGGATAGATCTAGAAGGTATTATGCTAAGTGAAATAAGTCAGGTGGAGAAAGAAAAATACCCAGGATTTCACTTATTTGTGGAATCTAAAACAAAGCAAAACAAAATGAACAAAGTAGCAGTAGACTCATAGACCCTGAGAAGTGATTACTAGTTACCATGGGGGAGAGGTTAGGGTGGGTAGCTGTGAAGAGTAAAGGACCTGAAGGGGCCCAAAAATTTCTCAGTCACAATATAAGTTGGTCACAGGGATTGTAGTGGAGAATATAGCCAATGGTTCTGTAACATTTTACTGTGTTGAGAGTAACTGCATTAGTGGGGGTGGGGATTTAATAATATGGGTAACTGTTGAACCACTGTACTGTATATTTGAAACCAATATAATATTGTGTATAAATGATACTTCAATTAAAAAAGAATCAAATTGAGGATCTAGAGGAGAATCAAAAAGCAAAGAATATAAAGTGCAAATGACAGGTATAAGCTTGCAATATGTGAAGACCAGACAGAAGGCTATGTGGTGGTACAGAGAGTAAATATAAAAGTAGTAGGAGATAAGATCTCAGAAAGTAGGCAGAGCCTAAATATTAAGGTAAGGAAAAGGAGACAGTTATAAGAAAAATAAAACAAAATAGCATTGTTCCCATAAAGATAAGAAGTAGAACATAAGAATGTAAGGCATTGGAGAACTTCAAGAAGTCAGTGATCAACAGTATCAATATTGCAGAGGGTTTGTATTTTTCAGTCCAACAAATACCTAAGGAGCATGTAATATAGACTACCAGCCGCTGTGTTACATGGAATGCAAAGAGAATTTAGAAACTGGAGGACTATGGTGACCTTTGTCAGAGGAGCACCAGCACAAGGGAGTTATCAGTAGCTGGTTAACAGTAGGTTGAAGAGTGATTGGGAGGTTGGAAAATGGAGACAGTAAATTGGTATGTTGAGGATCTTGTTTTTGAAGGGGAGGAGAAATGTACATTAGCTAAATTTGAACAAAGCATTAAGAGAAGGATTTTTTAAATGGAAAAGTTTGCATGTAAGAAAGAGGGAAGCACTAGACAACAGTTCATGATCCATAGGAAACCGAAAGATTTGAGAAGCTGACCTGAATCTGGAAAAAAAAAAAAACAACTTATCATTGAAGACTAAAGGAGAAGCTTAAGTCCAGAACAAATATAGCTGAAGTCAAAGAAATGTTGGAAATAAATATAGGGAACCCACAGCTAGTAGTCTCAATTGTTTTCAGTAGAAACAAGGATTTTATCGTTTGATGAAGGACAATTGTGGTAAGTGGCTTGAGGACAATGATAAGACCGTGGGTCACTTACTTTGGGAAATGGAATAGGAAGCAAATTAGGGAAATGTTAATGGCTTTCAGACAGTGCTGAATGTTGAATCACAGGTTGTTAGTCCAAAATACAACATGGCCCTAATAAAAATGGTTATATAAATGGTCATATGTAACATTTCTACAATTGTTAAAATGCATGGTATTTTATTAGAAAATGAATATTACAAATTGACCCATTGTTTAGACATGGCAATATTGATAGAAAGGGTTGAGGAGGGATTTTATAAATTAGGAGCGACTAGATTGAATATTAGCACACTGTCCCTTCTGGGCAAAGCCCAGGCTCTTCCCTTTGTGTAAAAAAAGTTTAATTGGAGTACAGCCATGCTTATTTGTTTATATATAATTTAAGGCTATGTTTTCACTACAACATCTGACCTGACTAGTTGTGGCAGAAACCTCTTGTCTGGTTCTTTACATGAAAGGTTTTCCAAATTTTGAACCAGGTTATCTCATTACAATAAAACAAAACAAAACAAAAAGTATTCCAAAATTACAGCATCCTAATAAACTAAAATGTATTTCCTATTCATGCTCACTTTCAATGTAGCCAATGTATGTCAAAAGGGACTCTGTTCATTATATTAATTATAAGAATTGGGATAAAGACATCACCTATGTCCTTCCTTAATCACTGTAGCTGTGGGGAAGAGAACATAAAAATTCACACAATGGCCTTTAAAAACTTCCTACTGAGAGACATATTACTACCACATACATTTCATTGTCCTGTGCAAGTCGTATGACCAAATGGGTATGAATATGCAACCCTATCAAATGTCTGAAAAGTAGAGTCTGAATATTGGTAAACAATCCTAATGAAAACTACAGAAGCCAGGGAAGTTGAAGAAAGTGGAAAAACTCATTAAAGTAATATATCATGAATTGATTGCCACATATGGAATATCGTGATGTGTGCGATGGCTTTAAAGAATGAGAATTTAAGATTCCAGCAGCCACAAATACATTAGATGAGAGATACAGAAGTGGGGGGAGTGAATGGTATAGCAGAAATAAAATGTGGCTGTACTCATTTTAATGCCATTTTTTGCTATGGTAGGGACAAAAAATAACATCCACTTTCATGTATTTGATTTCATGTACTTGATTATCTTAATGGATAGTGATTGTTACATTACCTATATATTCTTTTTCTTTTCAGAAATAACATGTAATCCTCCTTATATTCCAAATGGTGACTACACACCTGAAAGAATCAAACACAGAACAGGAGATGAAATTAGGTATCAGTGTAAAAATGGCTTTTATCCTGCAACCCAAGGAAATACAGCAAGATGCACTAGTACAGGCTGGGTACCTTCTCCTAGATGTAGCTGTAAGTTGCATTTCTGTCTTGACCTAATTCTTTCTCTTAAATACTTTCTCTGAACTTCTCTTAAGCACAAAAAATTGGAGACACAGTAAGTCCAAATATTTGCTTTATCATAATATGTAAAGCAGAGGATCCAAAGGATTTGGAGCTACTTTTCAAAGTAGTGAATTCTAAGTACAATCAGCAACAAAATTTTGTAAATGAAAACTTAGTTTTTGCTATTCAATGTTAAATATGTATATGTGTGAATATAAATCTCTCTAATATAATTCTAGTATCTGACTAAACCATTTCATAAGACTAATAACATATTCTTTATTTCTGCATAACAATTTTCCCTGAGATATAATGAGATATAATGAGTCATTCATATTTTCCAAGTATATTTGGTTTTCATCCACAGTTCCTGAAAACACTGCAGTTTTAAACATGAAATGGGTGTTTTGTCATGTTAATGAGAGGCTGTTCACCCCCACCCCAGGGCAGGGGCTGGAGGAGAATCAGCCAATGGCTCATAATTTAGTCAATCATGACTAAGCAATGAAGCCCTCACAAAAACCCCTTGGAAGAGCTTATTGCTCTCTGCTCTGCTCTGCTTGGTTGGAGCCCACTTCTTGGTTGAAGAGAGCTTCTAAGCTTAAGGAAACCAGAACGCCTCCATGTGCCACCAAGCCAGCCTCAAGCTCCACCAGGATAGAAGCTCTGTTATTTGGGGCCTTGCCCTGTGTCTCTCTTTATCTGGCTGTTAAATTGTACCATTTATGGTATCCTTTATTAAATTGGTAAACATAAGTGTTTCCCTGAGTTCTGTGAGCTGCTCTACCAAATTAATTAAACCTAAGGGGGAGGTCATAGGAACCTCCAATCTGTAGCCAGTAGGTCAGAAGCACAGAGAACTGCCTGGGGCTTGTGACCAGTATCTGGAGTCGGGGGTGGAGGGCAGCCTTGTAGGACAGAACCCTTAACCTGGGGACTGTGGTGCTGTCTCTGGGCAGGTAGCATCAGAATTGAGTTGAGTTCTCAGACCTCATGCTGGTGTTCAAGAATTGCTTGGTGTTATTTAGAGGGTGTGGAAAGACCCTCTCCCACATACTTACACCTCTCCCACATACTTACAAACACAGGAATCAGGTCCAGGAACCCAAATGGAGTTTTATCACCATTGTTGCTGTGTATAATATTGTTATTGTTATACATACATGCAGGGAAAAAATACACCATTGCATCTGGTATTGGGGGAGAGGGATTAACACCCCCAAAATGTATTGGCTTAAAACAATAAACATTCAATACCTTAAAGTATCTATGGGTCAGGGATTTGGGAGTGGCTTAGACAGCTAGTTCTTTGTTGCAGGATAGATGTTGGCCTTGGCTGCAGTCAACTGATGGCTTGGCAGGGCTGGAGGATCTGCTTCCAAGCTGGCTCACTCACGTGACTTCTGGCAGGAAGCATCAGTACCTGACCAAATGGATGCTTCCATACATTGCTTAAATGGCAGCTTTCTCCAGAGCTAGTGATCTAGGAGACAGAGAAGGAACCACTATACCATTTATGAGCTAATCACACACTACCACTTCAGCAGTACTCATTTAGCCTTGAGTCCCTAAAGTCTAGCACACTCGAGAGGAGGGGGATCGGGCTCCATTTATTGAAAGGAGGAGAGCTGAAGACATTGTGGAGTTTTCCACAACCACCGCATGTAACAAAATGCCACTCAGTTCAACAGAGGTCTGTATTTTATTTGTTTCCTTGCCCTTTTTGATGTGTTTTCTATCTCTACAATTATATTCCTTTTCTTTATATGTCACAGTTAATTGTAAAGGTGTACACTTAAACTGGGTAATTCATGAATGAAAACTGTGATGATGAACATGATTGGCCAGTGGCTTCCACATGAACCCTAGGCGTGAATCCAGATGAACTTTCAAAGCACGAGACCCTTAAAGAGGAATGTGTTATTAGTAAAGAACCAACTTCAGTGTACATAACAACTGTAAGGAATTTATTTTAGATATAATTTACATTTAATATATTACTTTTATGTGTACAACATAATTATTTGATATTTATATCTATTGTGAAATGATCACAAAAACAAATCTAGTTGACATCTATCCCAGCACAAAGTTGAAATTACTTTTTCCCCTTGTGATGAGAACTTTTAAGATCTACTCTTTAAGCAACTTTCAGAAGTACAGTACAGTAGTAATAACTATAACTGCCATGATATCCATTACATCCCCATGATTTAATAATTATTGTATCTGGAAGTTTGTACCTTTTGATGTCCTTCACTCATTTATCCCCTCACCCCATGCCTTACTTCTGGCAACAACTAATCTTTTTTATCTGAGTTCAGATTTTTTTAGATTCCAGGTATAAGTGAGTTCACACAGTGAATTGTGTCTTGTCTTTCTCTAACTTCTATCATTTAGCATAAGGCCCTCAAGAGAACCATCCATGTTATCTCAAGTGGCAAGGTTTCTTCCTGGGTTATAGCTGAAAAATATTCCATTATATATATATATTATATATAGAATTCCATTCACATTTTCTTTATCTAATCATCTGTCAATGGACACAGGTTATTTCCATTTCTTTACTAAAATAAATAATTCTATAATGAACATAGGGGGGTATATAACTTTTAAATTAGTGTTTTTGTTTTTCATTCTTTTTATCATTTGTGCATCTAACATGTTTCAAAAACTAACATGTTTTAAAAATTAACATGTTTTGCCTGTGGTTACCATGAGGCTTACATAAAACATCTTACAATTATAACAATCTATTTTAAAGTGATAACAACTTAACTTTAAATGCTTACAAAGCTCTACATTTTTATACTTTCCCCCACATTTTGCTTTTATTGTCACAACTTGTCTTTTTATATTTTGTAGTTAACAAATTGTTGTAGTTTGTAATATTTTGTCTTTGAACCTCTATATTAGTTATAAGTGATTTACCCATCACCATTACAATATTAGGGTAATTTAGATTTAACTATATACTTTTCTTTACCTGTGATATTTATGCTATAATGTATTTTCATGTTATTAATTATCATCCTTTCATTTCAGCTTGAGGAACTCCCTTTAACATTTATTATAAAGCAGGACTAGGGAGATGAATGCCTTAAGCTTTTATTTGGCAATAAAACTTTATCTCTTCAATTCTGAAGGACAACTTTGTCAAGTAGAGTGTTCTTGCCTGGACCTTTTTTCTTTCAATATTTTGAGTATATTTTTCCAGTCCCTTCTCATCTGCAAAGTTTCTGCTAAAAAATGTTCTTATTCTTTATGGATATTCCCTTGTATGGAAAAAGTTATTTTTCTATTGTTGTTTTTAAGATTCTTTCCTTGTCTTTAACTTTTGACATTTTACTATGGGGGTCTCTTTGGAACTCTCTGAACTTTGGACTTGGATTTGGATGTCTGTTTCCTTCCCCAGGTTAGGGAAATATTTAGCCATTATTTGTTCAAATAAGTTTTCTGCCCTTTCTTTCTCTCTTCTCCTTCTGGAACTCATAATGCAAATATTGATCTGCTTAATGTTGTCCCATGAGGTCACTTAGCTATTTTCACTCTTTTTCATTCTTTTTGTCTTTTTGTTGCTCTGCTTGAGTGAGTCCCACCACTGTGTATATTTGAGTTTATTGATCCTTTCTTCTGCTACATCTAATCTGCTATTGAACCCTTTTTATGTTCAGCTCTGTTATCATATTCCTCGGTTCTACAACTTCTATTAGGCACTGTATTTCCATCCATAAAATATTTCCTATATTTTCCATCTCTTTTTTTTTTTTGAGGGCATCTCTCATATTTATTGATCAAATGGTTGTTAACAACAATAAAATTCTGTATAGGGGGGTCAATGCTCAATGTACAATCATTAATCCATCTCAAGCCTAATTCTCGTCAGTCTCCAATCTTCTGAAGCATAACGAACAAGTTCTTACATGGTGAACGAATTCTTACAGAGTGAATAAATTCTTACATGGTGAACAGTACAAGGGCATTCATCACAGAAACTTTCGGTTTTGATCATGCAATATGACCTATAAACCATCAGGTCAAATATGAATATTCATTTGATTTTTGTACTTGATTTATATGTTGATCCCACATTTCTCCTATTATTATTATTATTTTTATTTTTAATAAAATGCTGAAGTGGTAGGTAGATGCAAGATAAAGGTAGAAAACATAGTTTAGTGCTGTAAGAAGGCAAATGTAGATGATCAGATGATCAGGTGTGTGCCTATGGACTAAGTATTAATCCAGGCTAGACAAGGGCAGCAAGACATCCACGGATGCAGAAGATTTCTCTCAAAGCAGGGGGGGTGAGGTTCTGAGCCTCACCTCTGTTGATCCCCAAATTCTCACCTGATGGCCCCCCTGCGACTGTGCCTGTCTTAGGTTGTTCCTCCCTTGAGGAATCTTACCCGTCTCTGGCTAACCAGTCATCTTCCGGGGCCATACAGGGAAATGTAAAGTTGGTAAGTGAGAGAGAAGCCATATTGTTTGCAAAGGTTAGCTTTTTACTTCTTTGCAGATTTATGCCCTGTGGCTTCTATGCCCAGCACTTGTCTCGAGGTATCTTTACCACCTGGAGGAATTATGATACTCGGTAAATTCGATATGAGGCACGAATTCTATTTAAGGTTTGTAATTAGGAAGGAAGAAGAAAAGCTATAGATGTAGCATATGAAGGAAACTTGGGAGGATTGATTATTTCTTTGACATATCTTCTTGTATAGTACCTTAAGTATGTATAGGTTTTAAACTACTAACTAATTTGCACACACATATTAACATAATAGGAATACGGTGACATAAACAAAGCAAATCTATAATTACCAGCCATCTCCAGTGAAGCCAAGAAAACCATTTAGGCACCCTAGGCATTTGTGAAAATTTATCTATGATATGATGGATATTTTCCAACTGTACTTGAACCATCAGACAAATTAAAGCAGCCCATTTCTGGGATCTGTTCACAT